TTTTTTTTTCAAGCAGAAGACGGCATACGAGATGCTGACAAAAGTGCAATTTCACAGATCAACTGAGGATTAGTTGCGGCATTTTAAGGACAACTTCCTCTGTTTTGAAATGCCGCTCGCTGCTGCCACGTGGATACTTCTATAGACGTGGTCGGCACCACCGATCTGTATCCTATTGTAGCAAAGCTAATAGACGGTCCCCTGTTACCCTATCACATGCTAACCGTCTGTTCGACTGCTTGTTTACGCGTAGTTCGTCGACTTTTTTGCTCCATCTTGTTAACACGTGAAGTAGCGGTGACAATGTGAGCAATTTTACAGTCTCAGCATTGGTACGGTCATATAATTCCGATAAAACATTGCGAAGTGAATTCGCCAATCGTTTGCAAGCCAGATGTCGCAAAAAAGTTTCATTGTGGTCAGGCGTCGCCGTGTCTTAGTGCCGTTCGCAAAATTACAATGACCATTAGACCAAGCTTCTCAGGCCAGAAATTGAACGGGAAAATCAATTTCTTCATGTCATGTTCTTCAGTCTTCCGATGCGACCCTTGTTCGTTAGTCAATTTTTCTGATTTCCTTAAGGAAACTGTAAAGTGTTCTTCTTTGACGTATCAAGTGGGATTACTTTTGCTTGTCATTTTTGCACGCGATGAATACGGAATGGTATTTTCACATCATTTGTTCACATCTGTTATTACTTCAGTTTTTTTCCCAAAAGTCCCATATGCGTGTATATATTTTCGTGCTCACGTTACTCATTTAAGTACTTCTAAAATCTGTAATCTTACTAAAGCGGGCTGCAGTCTGCTCTCCTAGCAGAAAACCTTATTATTCTCTTTGGCGAAAAATGAATGTATGGACGATAGAAGGAAGGATCGGTACCGAAAGGACTCAGTATCAGTTTTTTATCGGTAGGCAATATGTCAGTCAACTACTGTCCCTTTGATTTGGTATACCTATCGTGACCTGACTTCTTCTTTTACTCTTTCCGCGGAACTCGCGTTTATTAATGTACCTTAACCGCTTTCGTAACGATTTTCTGCTAATTTTTTGCACCAACTCTCAATCGCTGTATTTTTGAGATTCTTCTCATCCCTTCTCTGAACTTCCCTAAAAACAGATTATCCTGGTCAATCGAACTGATCAATCCCAGTCAGCAAGCCATCCGTCACCGACCAATGTACACACCGCTGCCTACGTGAGTCTCTCTAGCCCCGAGGCCGCCACGACTCTCCTCACCTGTCTCCGCTCTTCACAGTCACCGTTGTCGCTGACGCCAACAAGTGGCTCTAGGGAAGATCAGCAGCAACAACAACACGCGACAAGACGTTCGATGCCGGTTGACTTTGTCAGCAGTCGCCAGTCCTCATTCATTGAAAATCTTCAGCTGGCAGCTTCCAGGTGGGTGTTTGCCCTTCTCTTCCTTAGCTTCTTCCTCTCTGAGTCAATAGGCTACATCCAGCTGCGTTTTAGACAGTTGTGGTAGCTTCCCCTGTTGCTAAAATTAGCATAAGGATGAATTCCCTGACGTTTATGTTTTGGACTGTTTTTTGCCGTAGTCTGAATGTCTTTCCACCGAAACTTCTTCGTGGTTCTACAACTGTACACCTATTCCCAATCTCGATTTGCAAACACAGAAGAATTTGCAATGACATCTTATCTAACTACTGGTCGTCAGAAAATTTAGCTGAGCTTCTGGCATCTGGGGCTTCTATAATACTGACAACTTCCACTATGCCCCCACTGATAATAGTATGCCCGATTTTCTAACCTCTATTATGCTTCGGACTACCCTGAAATGCCCTGGAGTGACAATAGAACAGCATGCTTTGGAATTCTCTTGACGAAGTGGTTCTTATCTGGTGTGGTTCTTACTGCATGCAACGGATTAACAAAGAAATCGTTTCATCATCGTCGTAAATTTATAGAGAAGCAACTTTTCGTCAGCCCGGATTGACGTCTTTTCAAGCCAGGAAACAAAATTTCAAATTAGCATCCACGACATGACATTTCGATCACCGAAAACGAAGGCGTACAGCGGGTCTCCGATGGTGTGGACGCAGCGCTGATGACTTTCGCGTATTTCATAGACGAGTAGACTTTCACAGCATTTGCCACATTTTCCTTGCCTTTACTTACGTTGCTCCGATCGTAAAACGACCGGAGGTGCGCTTGGGCGTAGTGGCTGCCAAAATTAGGTAGCCCGTCTGCGCGTGCCACATATGACCGGATCTGCACCAAATGAATCGGTCTACTATAAGGGCGACTCGAATCTCAAATTCGTTGCAGTGCCAGGAAGGTCACATTACAAAGGAACCCAGCTATCCCGTCACTTGGCAACGTTCGAAACCACGTGTCTTAGCGCATTCCCTTTATTATAGTTAGGCATGCGTTCAAGTGCCCGAGAGA